GGGACAGAGTATAAGCCCCAAAGGTATGACCCCAGGGACCCACTTCCTCTAGCCACACCCTACCTGCCTGCAGTCACCACCGAGTTAATCCATTCAAGTGGACGAAGGTGCTGATGAGGGGAAGGCTCTCATGACCCAGTCATTTCACCTCTGATCGTCCCTTGCACTGTCACACACGAGCTTTGGGGGAACACCCCATATCTAAGCCATCACACAGTCACTCCCAGTTCCCCAACCCTCTCCTGTCCCTGGAACCCTGCGGCCTGCGTCTGTCTCTGGATCTATCTGTTCTAGATACCTCACTTGCCGGGGGCTGGTCCCTCATGCTGGAGGGGCTTCAGGACTCTGTACTTCTCTTGGCCAACAATCTTCTCCGCACGCAGAGACCATGCTTGGGCCCAGGTGACCGTGGCTCTCTGGGGCTGGTCAAAGCTGCCCCTCACGCCCACTCCTCCTGCTGCCCTTGGCTGTCCACCTGTCCCTCACCCCATGACCTCTCCAGACACCAGCCCCTAATTCTCTCTGCCCCCATCTGTCCTTGGCTTCCTAACCCTTGGAGTCCCTCCTCCATCCCTTCCAGCCCCGGTCCCAGTGTCCACCTTCACGAGTCACCCCTCCTTGCCTCTCTAACCTCATGTCTCCTCTGCCACCCCAAACCAGTCACCAGTGCCCAGATGGCCTGCACTTCTCAGGCCCCCCATTCTTGCCCCTTAGGGTCTTGTACCTGCCAGCTCTCCTGCCTGCTATGCCCTTTCCTGACCTCCCTGGGTGCTGTACCCTGTCCCTCTCACCTCTAAGCAGAGTGGACATCTTCCCCTCCCCGTAGAGGAAGGGCCTCTAGAAGAGCTTCCGCCCCACTGTGTGCCAGAGGCATCTGTGTGTCCAGGCCTGAGCTGCTCATTTTGGGGTCCCCTGTACCAGGGGGGGACATCCCTCTGGGCAGGGTGGAGGAGGCGGAGGGTGATGAAGGGAAAGCGGGTGGCCAGGCACAGAGCTGCTGGCCTCCTCTCCCTCATCTCCTCCTGCCGCCTCCTCTTACCCTGTGTGCAGGTCTCGTCTGTCCCTCTGATTGTCACCCTTCCTCCCGAGGTCATTGGTTAGGTGACTGTGTGCTCCTTTTGAGTATCAAATGGTGGTGGAGCTGCTGCTGCTGCTGCTGCTGCTGCTGCTGCTGCTG